CCCCTCACTCAGTCACTGCAGGCCGCTGTTCCTCCCTCTCCTACGATACAGCTCTAAAAGCGTCTGTTCCTGTCTCCACCTGGCAACAAAACACCCACAACATCTGGAGGAACCCCCACTGGCCTGCTCTCTCATGTAAGTAACATTTATTCCACTTTCTTTGCCCAGTTTGCTTTTATTTTCCACTTTCTCACTTCATAAGGGTTATGTCAGGGCAACTAAGGAGATTAAGATACTTCTATCTTCCACACTTAGTGTTGAGTTTGTTAAAAAAGTACTAAACATTTGTGGTATTGACAGCTCCAAAGTGTTTTTGTTTGTAGCTTTAATATGAAACTGCCACTTTAGAAGCTGCATGAATTATGCAACACTCCATTTTTTTACAACCAGAATAAGGAAAAATTCATGCCTCAAATACAAAAATCATTTTTGCTTGAATATGGCTCTTTCTTCTAAGATTAAAACTCGTTTCGTAAGCTCGAATCAGCAAAGTAAAACCAAAAGAATCGCTCTACCTATTTTCACTCTGGAACACGAGAACACATGAAAAGCAATTCTTTTAACAGCTTATTATAAATAAATAAATGCCCTACACCTCCATATACTTTATATAATAGGCATGATCAAAAGCCTGCTCCTGTTTTTAATGATGTTCATTTTGTTTATTTGCTTTATGATAAAAATCACAAGGTGCTTCACATCAATGGACGACAAAACAGAAAAAACGTGAAATAAAGCAAGATGAGATATAAAGGTATAATAGTTGTATACATTTCTATGCATAGATAAGATCAGACACTACAACAGGTTGTGTCATTTGTTCACTCAGACACATTAGACGCCTTTTTGGCAGTTTTAGATCCAACTTTATTATTTTCTCATGTCAAACTGATAGAAACCAGTCCCCCCACCCCAACACTCCCTACCCCCCACCATCCTTGAGTGAATCATGTGAGAAAAACAATGCTGTTTGGTCACTATCAGGTAGTGTGTGCTTGTAAATATGCCACTCAGCTCCGTGCTTGTTTGTCCAAGGACTGCTACTCACTAAATCATGTATTTCTGTATTTTTTGCAGCGTGAATCCTCCGAGGTTAACAGTCACGATGGAGCCGTCCCCCATTTCTAAATCCAGTCAGTCCATTACGAAGCTCACAGAAAAGCTCAGAATACCTAGCTAGCAATAAATTTTATACATTTTCTCCCTTAGCACATTCAGATTGGAACTTTAGCGGTCTTTAATTATTTTAACATTTACTTATTTTTTTTTTTTAAATACCTCAAAATTCTACTTTTTGTTGGAAAACATTGTGAGCGGTGATGGATACGACTACACTGGCGACCCTGGCTGCTGCCACCACCGCAGTCCTGGCCTCTCAGTCAGACATGTCCGCCTATCTTTGGCTGCTGGTGCTCGGCTTCGTCATCGCCTTCATCCTGGCTTTCTCCGTGGGGGCCAACGACGTTGCCAATTCCTTTGGCACGGCGGTGGGCTCCGGCGTGGTCACCCTGCGGCAGGCCTGCATCCTGGCCACCATCTTTGAGACGGTGGGTTCAGTGCTGCTGGGGGCCAAAGTCAGCGAGACCATCAGGCAGGGGATCATCGACGTGAGGATGTACAACGGCTCAGAGCACGTCCTCATGGCCGGATCTATAAGTGCGATGTGTGGTGGGTACACGACGCACGCAGACATGCATCATTCACTCAAAGTGTGACCGAACACAGACTCTGCTCATGTTTTGGTGCTGCAGGCTCTGCTGTTTGGCAGCTGGCTGCATCATTCCTGAAGCTCCCCATTTCTGGAACCCACTGCATTGTTGGAGCCACAATTGGCTTTTCTATGGTAGCTAGAGGCCACCAAGGGGTCCACTGGATGGAACTCCTGCGCATCGGTGACTATCCTTTGTTTATCCCTGCATTTGAAAACAAGGATCTGCTCAACTAGAAGTAAAGTGCAGCACGAAAATTAATATTGTATCCACTGTCTATTCAAAGTGGCATCCTGGTTCCTGTCGCCTGTTCTGTCAGGAGTCATGTCAGGGATTCTCTTCTATTCTATCCGCAAATTCATCCTGAACAAAGTAAGAGTCACTTCAAACCAACGTTGCTTCAATTATTTTACCACGTAAATGATGTTTCAGTAAAATGACCGGCTTACTTGTGGATTAGAGTGTGAAAAATGTTTCAGATGGCTGTTTTAAACTGTATTAATAACATTACATGTTTACAGTAATTTCTGGACTATTGAGCGCACCCGAATATAAGCCACGCCCACTTGATAAATTATAAAAATTTAATTTTGTAAAAATATAGGCCGCGTTTGTCTATAAGTCGCAGGTGTCCACGATGATATTTACACAAAGATTTTTTTTAAACTTTTAATTAAATATGTACCGTAACATACACAAATACGTACGGTAAAAGTTTGTTTCTGAACGGTGCCTGTAACGAGGCTGGTCACAAATAAATGAATACAGTAGCCTACCAGGAAACTGCTAGCTTACATGCAGCAGCTCTATTTTCTTCTTGACAGCCAGATCAATCACCTTTATTTATTTATTATTAAACCTTTATTTAACCAGATTAAAAAAATATATTAAAAAAAATTGAGATCAATACCTGTTTCACAAGGGTGACCTGGCCAAGAACAGGCAGCAGCACACGTCATAAAAAAACAAGTAACAATTTTAGAATAAGACTTCAGAAATATATGTAAAACATACAGTATAACAGTAAAGGGCAATAATTGTAATAAATAATCATTTAAAAAAATAACAATTTAAGATCTAAAACACAGGCACTGTTGACAAAATATCCTTTGTCGTTTTTTAAAAAACATAAACTTGAAATCTGCATCATCTGCGTTGTTTTGTGTGTTTTCCATGAGGAGGGGTTCTTCGTGAAGTTCAAAATAACTGACCTGAAGAATTTAGGGATAGTGCGCGTCATTTACGGTAATTCGAAGTTTCACTGGTCCACTGTGACCAGTTGGGTAATTTCATTATAGTCAATTTTTATTTTTTTACCTTTATTTATACAGGTAGTCTGAGACGTGTATTGGGCAGCTATGTGCGCGCCCGGGTGTGACGAAGCTAAATATTTTGGCGGCAGGAAGCTTGTTAGCCTGTCAAAAATAAAAAATCCATAAATTAGTCGCAGCGTTATATAAACCGTGGGGTTCAAATTATGTGGAAAAAGGAGTGGCTTATAGTCCGGTAATTACGGTAATCGGTGTATCTGTGTTTGAGCAGCAATAGGTAAAAGTCTGGAGGGTTTAGCTGAGGTGTCACAAGATTAACCTGGAATGCTGTAAAGATTTTAACAAACTTTACTGTGAACTTTCCGACCAGTGTGCATTTTTGACAACTGTTCGAGAAATATATATACATATATATATATATATATATATATATATATATATATATATATATATATATATATATTTGCACTTTTTTTTGTGCACGTGAAAAACAAAGAGCTATTTTTCCCACACATCTGATCCCCTCACTGAGCTCTGACATTATGATTTAACACATCTGCGTAAAGTGTGACTGCTGGCCAGCTTGGCACCTTTAAAACCAATGAGCAGAGAATAAAAATGAATGAGTTTAATCAACAATATATTTATGTTACACTTTGTTCCCTCAGATATAAACAGTAAATTTCAGTCATCTTTAGTAAATCTTGTACAAATTTACAAGTAACATTAATTCTCATGTTTTTCTCATTGTATTTTAATAACTAAGAAGTTCAGAGGTGGTTCATCATATAAATATGGGTTCTTTCCACAGGCTAACCCCGTACCAAACGGACTGAGAGCCCTGCCTGTCTTCTACGCCATCACTATGGGCATCAACCTTTTCTCCATCATGTTCACAGGAGCTCCACGTAAGGACGACTTTCACACATGTCGCTCATACATGTCCTGATTTTCACTTGAACGCAGCATTGGATGCAACCCTCGGTGCAGTATGGGGTGCACGACGCTCCGAAGGAGAGCTGTTTACTGCCAAATCATGAGGAGAGTATTAAAAAAGCAGAAATATAACATCAGTCTTGGATACATTTTAAAACTATTTAAAATACCACCAAAGGAAGCAAACATTAGATGGAAATGTTTAATTCCTTTGTGTATTTTTTACAGGTTTGTGTTTTAATCAAGAAAAGTAACACCACACAACCCTTGCTACAATGAAGTGTGTCCTTTTTGCATCAGTACTCCACAACATTTATGGCATTTTTCAATTAACTCCATTTTTAAATCTAAAAATGTCATTATCTGCCTGCACACCTTACCATCCGGTGCAGTGAACTGTGGGTCGCACCCATAATGTTTCTCGGCCTTCTTTTGGGGTAGAACTCCAGTGGTTCACAAAAACAAAACAAGTTGTTTCGTTGCAGCAGTAAAAAGCAAACGGCAGCCATTCGGCCGGTCTGAGCTGATATTAGAGGAAAAGTGAAACAACTAACACTCAGCTCTGAACAGTTTTTATCACTCTGCTGCAAGACCGGCCTCTTCCTCAATATCTGATGAAAGGAGAGTGTCCTGTCACTGATACTGTTGTCCAAAAGAGCACACTGACATGTGAGGAACAGGTTGCTGAGACACATTGCAGTTATTTTTACTAATCACTGAGTCTTGTTAAATTAAACGATTAAATTACACCTGCCTGCTAAGATGACATGGAAATACTAAGAGCTTTTTTCTGTTTTTGATCGTTCATCCATGAAGAATGAACAAATTAAAGACACAGTTAAAGTTTCTGTTTGTGCCTGTCTGTTTTCCTTCATGTCCCCGCCTCGTGGGCTCAGTGCTGGGCTTTGACAGGGTGCCGTGGTGGGGGACACTGTGCATTGCTCTGGGCTGCGCTGTCCTCACCGCTTTGGTCGTTTGGTTTGCCGTCTGTCCACGCCTCAAGATGAAAATCCAGCGTGAGTAGAAGAGACGGTCTTCACTCAAGATACAAACCTTGAACGTGTCTAAATAGGATTGTTTGTGAGAGTATAAATTTATGGGGAGCCGTTTGTAAAGTTACACAGTCAAAAGTTAACAGCAACATTTTGGTTTATTTCACCGTCACCATTTCACACTTCATAAGAATTTTTTTTTTTTCTAAGTCATATTTTCACCATGTTATTCATACATTTATAAATGCCAGAGTTCCAAACTTAATGTTTCATTTCCAAGCTAAATATTTATTTTCCAAACTAAACATTTAATTTCCAAAATAAATATTTAATTTGCTAACTAAATATTTAGCTCGGACCTAAATATTTAATTTCCAAACTAAGCATTTAAATCCCAAAATAAATATTTAATTTGCTAACTAAATATTTAACTTGGACCTAAATATTTAATTTCCAAAACTAAGCATTTAAATCCCAAAATAAATATTTAATTTGCTAACTAAATATTTAGCTCGGATCTAAATATTTATTTTCCAAACTAAACATTTAAATCCCAAACTAAATATTGAATTTGCTAACTAAATATTTAGCTCGGACCTAAATATTTATTTTCCAAACTAAACATTTAATTTCCAAAATAAATATTGAATTTGCTAACTAAATATTTAGCTCAGACCTAAATATTTAATTTCCAAACTAAGCATTTAAATCCCAAAATAAGTATTTAATTTGCTAACTAAATATATAGCTTGAACCTAAATATTTAACTTGCAAGCTAAATTTTTAGTTAGCAAGTAAAATATTTAGCTTGCAAGTTAAATATTTAGCTTGCAATTCAAATATTTAGGTCTGAGCTAAATATTTAGTTAGCAATTAAATATTTAGTTTAGGAGTTAAATGTTTAGCTTATAAATTAAATGTTTAGTTTGGAAATTAAAGATTTAGCTTGGACAATAAATATTTAGTTTGGAAACTAAATGTTTAGTTTTGAAAATAAATATTTTGTTTGGAAATTAAGTATTTACACCTAAATATTTAGTTTACTAACTAAATATTTAACTTGCAAGTTAAGTATTTAGTTTGTAAACTAAATATTTAGCTTGTAAATTAAATATTAATTTGGAACTATGACATTTATAAATGTATGAATAACATGGTGAAAGTATGACTTTGAAAAAAAATCTTTTTTTTTCTTATGAAAGGGTAAATAGACCAAAATATTGCTGTAAATTTTTAACATTGTAACTTTACAAACGGCACCCCATAGCATTAGTTTATGTAAGACTTTCCTTTGTGTGATTTATTCATTCTTGTTTGAGCTCAGCTGTCACTGTTAGAAAGCAACGCAGCACGTTAACATCAGGTAAAATTGGATTATTTTACTTGAGTGTTTCCATTCATCGTCACAGTTTAATTTATATACTTTCATATTTATGATAAGACCAGGGTGGAAATTTAACATGAGGCTTTATTGATATTATTAACACAGACAACTGAGCAGTAAATACAGTTGTAAAATTAATTCAGTCACATCTGCACTCTATCACACAAGTGACCTCTTACCCATAGGAGAGACATTTACTGGCCCCGGTGAGACTCCACTGATGGAGAACTCCAACAAACCTGCACTAGAAGTTCAGCCTCAAGTACCATCGGACCCCCCTCCACCTCAAACCCCTCCAGCAGAGAGTCAGAAGGTGGCTTTCAAACTCGGAGGCTCCGAGGAAGCCGACCTGAACAATGACGTGGAAGCCAAAGACTTGGATATCGCCAATGGTGAGAAATTAATGTCCTAAAATGCTGGAATGGAGACATCAACTGAACCATAGTAAAACTGGTCTGATTCCCAGGTCTGAACGGGTCTGCGGGCCACATGACCATCATTGATCCTCACAGCGGACGCTCTCATACAATCCACAAAGACTCTGGCCTGTACAAAGACCTGCTCCACAAGCTCCACAAGGCCAAGGTCGGGGACTGCATTGGCGACAGCGACACAGAGGAGCGGCCCATGAGGAGGAACAACAGCTACACCTCCTACACCATGGCCATATATGGAATTCAAACAGACCCTAAGCACAGAGACGTGGACACCGGATCACAGAGGAGGTCTCGGGTGGACAGCTACAGCAGCTACAGCTCAGCAGTGACCAGCGCCAGTGCAGTCCCAGAAGGGAGCGAGACCCAAGAAGCCGGCAGGGACCTCGCTGTGGAGGAGGACGAGCTGGAGATCGACCAGCCTGCCGTCTCCTTGCTTTTCCAGTTTTTGCAGATCCTCACAGCGTGCTTTGGCTCGTTTGCTCATGGGGGAAATGACGTCAGGTAAGCAAGGAGGCGGTGTCGTTTTGAATAATTTACTAACATGTGGTCATTCAGATGATTCACATTTTATCTTTATCACCAGCAATGCTATTGGTCCACTTGTGGCTCTATGGCTCCTCTATGACAGTGGTTCTGTCGTGTCCACTGCACCCACCCCCATCTGGTTGCTTCTTTATGGTGGAGTAGGAATCTGTGCAGGACTCTGGGTCTGGGGTCGGAGGGTCATCCAGACCATGGGCAAAGACCTGACCCCCATTACACCCTCCAGGTATGCCTCACGTCTGCACTTTGCCTCAGCTGGAGTTATGATTTATCACCGCACTAACTTTCCCCTCCTCTCCAGTGGATTCAGCATAGAGCTGGCTTCAGCGGTCACCGTGGTTGTTGCTTCAAACATCGGTCTTCCTGTCAGTACAACCCACTGCAAGGTACGACAGCTCGATGCTGCTGTAAATGCATCATGCTTCTTGTAACGCACACACTGACATGTCTGATGTCTCAGGTGGGGTCTGTGGTGGCTGTGGGATGGCTGCGCTCCAGGAAATCAGTCGACTGGCGTCTGTTCAGGAATATCTTCATCGCCTGGTTTGTTACAGTTCCCATCTCTGGTCTGCTCAGCGCCGCCATCATGGCTCTCTTCATATATGTTATTCTGTGAGTCTCATGGTTCGGCTCCACTCTTCTGGTTTTGTTTTGACTCTTTGAGTGAGCCCAAAGCTGTTTCATTTGTTCTGTGGGAACAACGGAGTGCAATTTCATTTCAATACAAATATTTATCTCACAAAGATGTTTTCATAAATGACGTTGGTTCTAATAATAATAATGTTTTCCAATGTGAAAAACACTGTGACTTGTATATATCTATATATTTTGTATACTTGTATAAAAGCAATATGTTCTCATCCAGTTTTTCAGTTGACATAAAAATATACAACAGATCAAATTTAGCTTTTTTTTTGTAAAAGTGTTTCTTTTAATGAAAGGATTTCAACGTATTTCAGTGACTATTAAAACATTTTCTGTCACATTGTGTGTGTGTGTGTGTGTGTGTGTGTGTGTGTGTGTGTGTGTGTGT